ATAAATAATAAATTTATATGTAGTGTTTATTTGTTTGACCACTATTTTATATATATATATATATATATATATATATATATATAATATATATATATATATATATATATATATATATATATATATATATATATATATATATATATATATATATATATATATAAAATATATATATATATATATATACATACATATATATATATATATATATATATATATATATAAAATATATATATATACATACATATATATATATATATATATATATATATATATATATATATATATATATATATATATATATATATATATATATATATATATATATATATATATATATATATATGTATGTATATATATATATATATATACATACATATATATATATATATATATATATATATATATATATATATATATATATATATATATATATATAATATATATATATATATATATATATATATATATATATATGTATATATATATATATATATATATATATATATATATATATATATATATATATATATATATATATATATATATATATATATATATCATTATATGTTTCTTTGTATTATTCAATTTTTTGTTCGTTCGTTTTATATTTTGAATTTTTGTTTTGACACGTTAACACGTTCACGACTTTTCCGGCAGCGGAACATCCTTTGTCGAAAAAGTATTTATTTACTCTTTCATACTGACGATAAAACTGTTATTGTAAAATGCTCTATAAAACAACACTAAAACAATACTGCGAGGTTGTTTTATCGTTGAAAAAAGCTACAATACAAAACGTTGTTTGCTATGTTGCTTGATTGCTATTTTATACTGTTTATAACATTTACAACATAAAACGCGTTTTAAATAATATTAACTTATCGTCAGTATGAAAAAGGGTAAAGTTTAGTTTTAAGAAAAGAAAGTAGCTAAGCGAGGTACTATCAAGGGATCGAGCTCGCTTATACCATGTTCACACTAGCGATGTTCGGCGGAACATTATTCCGGAACAAATATTCCTGGAACAAAATGTTCCACAAAATGTTACTTGTAGCGTTCACATGTAAAATTGGCTTGACCGGTACATAAAAGAAAAAAACGAGTAAAAAAACGGTAAGTAAAACTCGAATAAAAATTAGTGACAAACAGTTTGGCAAATACACATTGTTCATATAATTTATTAATTTTTAATATTTATTCATTTATGAGAGGTAAAACTAAATGCAAATAACGCTGAGGGTTCAGCTAGCTCAGAGTTAAACAATAGAAACCCAACCCTAAATACCCGCTATACAAAAGGTGACGTTGGAGTTATGTTATCCCGTTTCTTGGCTTTTATGGATAAGTCATATCTTCTTTAGTCGCTTTTGACGACACAGAATAGTAGTCCATCAGTGGTATAGTACCGAATAAACATATTATACATTAATAAGTTACCCACGACCAGTTAAAACTAATCTCATTTTGTGTTCATACATATTTAATGTTTATTTATTTAGGAACATTTGATAACCTCAAGGAAAGTAAGTTTAGTTCAAAACTACTTAATACATAACCATATTACAGCTAAAGCTTTAAATTTATAAATAACATTATTACTGCTTTACTTGTCCCTTTCATAAAGGTATTTAGCAATTGAGTCACGAACATTTTTTCCTGGTCTATTGTTCCCAGTTGTAGAAACTATATTGGGTTGAGCTAGACTGTCATCATGATGATTCATAAGCCATTTTATTATAATAATATCGTCATAATTTTCACAAATGTTGTGAAGAGTGACGCAAGCATTAACAATTCTCGTAGCAAAGTTAATATCGCATTCCATACGTTTGCAAATTACACGGAATCGAGCTTTAAGGCGCCCAAAAGCATTCTCAACTACTCTTCTAGCTCCGCAAAGTATTTTACTGAAATTTTTTTGAATTTTACTAAGCTCCAAATTTTCAGGATAAGGTTTTAACAAATGACGCGTTAAAGGAAATGCTGAATCACCTATCAAACATAGCGGAACAAGAGAATCGCCCAGCTCTTTACAACATTTATCAAATAGATTTGATTCTAAAATTGCTATCAAAGAAGAATTCTGCAAAATATAGCTGTCATTATTTCTACCAGGCGATCCAACACTTGTATAAATGAAATGGTATCGACAGTCTACAACGGCAAAAAGTACAATGGAATACCACCCTTTATAATTATAATAAGAAATTGCTTGATCTTTAGGGGCTGAAATAGGGATGTGGCATCTATCAACAGCTCCAACGCATTGTGGAAAACCAAGAATAGCTTCGAAATCTCTACTATATTTATTTAAATTTTCCACTGACAATGGAAATTTAACATATTTAGGGAGCAAAATGTCATTAACAGCATTAATAAATTCATAAACAATTAAAATTGCTGTTGACTTTCCTATGCCAAAAAGGCTAGACACAACACGATACTCTTCACATGAAGCTAGATAATGTAATGCAACTGCAACACGTTTTACTACTGAAATAGGTTCTCGCATAGTTGTGGTAGTTTTGCCTAAATGTGGATGCAATTCATTAACTAGGAAATTAAATGGGTTACGATTTACTCGAAAATGCTCTTTAAATTCACATTCCTCCATTTGAGTAAAAATCTCATTAAACCATTGAGAACTTTTCGGCCTAACCCAAACTTTTCTTTCAATCAGATACCCTTGTTGATTTAACTTAAAAGAAGCTAAATCTAAATATGAAAATGGGTTGG